GGTAGTAGTAGTAGTAGTAGTAGTAGTAGTAGTAGTAGTAGTAGTAGTAGTAGTAGTAGTAGTAGTAGTAGTAGTAGTAGTAGTAGTAGTAGTAGTAGTAGTAGTAGTAGTAGTAGTAGTAGTAGTAGTAGTAGTAGTAGTAGTAGTAGTAGTAGTAGTAGTAGTAGTAGCAATAGTTTATTGTGAAAAAGATTATAATAATTACAATAAATTACAATATAAAAACATGGATTGTGTAATGATTGTTGCTGATGAAAACACATTCTCTTCAAGTCTGGGATAATGGTGTCTGCTATTGCGACTGTGACCAGCCACCCGTGATACTAGACCCGGAATACCTGGCACTTCCCATTGATGTCAAGGTAAGGCCGGGTATGCCCCATCCACTGTTTAACTATACTTTTAACTATCCACTGTTTAACTATACTTTTAATCATCCACATTTTAACTATACTTTTGTCCATTGTCCACTGAAGTAAATCTAAATGAGCGAAAAAAGCGGGTGTGGGGGTGATGGGGTGGGGGGGGGGGGGAAAGTGATCAGCTCTATACTACCTGTGTAGAAACCATAGACCAATACTTCGTTTCCCAAAAAAAGCTGTCAAAGTAACGAAAAGAAAAGAAAATTACAAATAAAGAAATAAAAAAGAAGTTTGAGAACGACACCAATCATGTCATTCATAAAAGAGTAAAATATGATACAATTACAGAAGTTAAAAAAAATTCCAATACAATACCAAAATTAAATTATAAGTCTATGGTTAAGTACCAGCAAGGAAATAATAATAATCTGTCTGCCACAACGAGCCACACTGAAAACGTTACAACGGGTACAGAGCGAGTGGAAGACCTCGGAAAATATGGAGTGATGGCATAAAGAACAGCCTTACAGAAATGAACATCAGTCTTAATAGTGCTCTTGGCAGAGCTCATCAACGAACGTTACATCTTCCCCCGATACTTCGATGAGGTACACGGTGGAAGAGAAGAAGAAGAAGAAGAAGGAAAGCAAAGTTACAATTTTCAGAACATGAGTCATTCCCTAAAGCAACATACTGATTCAGACTACTTCGTTAATTTAGTAAATGGAGGCTTTTCGGCTGAAATGCTATAGAAAGATTCTCAGAATGCTAATGACATTGAAGAAAACAAATACAATAATCTTAAAAGATCTTAACATCAGTGAAGATTGGCTAATTAACAGCATCTTGTCCCAGAAGTAAAAATGTTTTCGGTCATATCAAACACCCATGCGGACTGGAAAAAAAACAATAAAAGCAGAATGCATGGAACAACGACAGGGGGCAGGGGTAGACGAGCACGAAGATGGGCACAGGATATGATTCATTGGATATGAAACTGCACGAGGCGGGAGAACTGGCTAGAGACTGAGTTTCTTTTAGGTAGACCATAATGAGGGCAACGTTCTGGAAGCACCTACTACACGATGAGGACATGGTTTGGCATTTTGATGAGAATGTCCTGGTAGCAACTGCTACAAAGAGAAGCAGCCGGACGATTTATAATGATCATGATACGCCTTAGAAACAAGGCACAATCGACTTCGACGCCACATGTAAACAAAATTAAGATTGGCGATCAGCTTTGCACGTGGACTGCCACTTTAGACAACAGATCCCATCCTCTAAGACTATCCCAGATAAAACGTTTTCACACAAAACTTCTGGCCAACAGAGACACTGGTGGAAGTCAAACTTTACGGGTCGCTAAGTGGATTACAAAAGGCAGAGAAGTTCATTCTAGAGACAGCATTGTAGATATAGATAATTTATTTCAAGCAAACGAAAGAAGAAGAGAAGAAGAAAAGAAGAAGTGGATTAAGAAAAGGCAGTGAAGTTCATACTAGAGACAGCATTGTAGATATAGATAATTTATTTCAAGCAAACGAAAGAAGAAGAAGAAGAAGAAGAAGAAAAAGAAGAAGAAGAAGAAGAAAAAGACGAAGAAGAAGAAGAAGAAGAAGAAGAAGAAGAAGAAGAAGAAGAAGAAAAGAAGAAGAAGAAGAAGAAGAAGAAGAAGAAGAAGAAGAAGAAGAAGAAGAAGAAGAAGAAGAAGAAGAAGAAGAAGAAGAAGAAGAAGAAGAAGAAGAATGATCATAACCAGGTGAAGACCAAGAAAGAACTCGTTGATGGCGTCAAGAACAGTCTCAGAGAAATAAGAATCAATGCCTTAGTAAGAACACTAAAAAGATGTCTACATCTATTCTCCCTTTTCCGTTTTTCGGCGATTTTGGCACTTCTGCTCTCGAATGCACTGTGTGACGCATGGGCAAAATGTCTCTTATTTTAAAACTGTGGAAACTACTTTGTGTTGAATACACAAATATACAGATCTTTCTTGTGATTTTAGGGTTTTGAACAACGGATCAATAACATGGTACACGGGTGTTTAACCCATAAGTGCTCCCTTCTTCTTTTAACTCTAGTCTGAGTCCGAAGAAGCTCAGCACAGTGCACAGGCTCCATAGCACCATTAGGGATCCTGAAATACTTTGAGGTAGATTTTAACTCCAAATTTCCCGGGCAGCGCCGTTAGGCTACTCTTTTTGATTTCCGAATTGCCAAGCGATTTTTTTTTACGTGCGCAAATGCACGGGCGTCCGATGTTACTACCCAGAGACTAGGGGGAATTACTAGAAGTCAAAGCCCACGTAAAAAAAAAATCCCAGCCCTTACCGCGGTTTAAAACCGGAACTTCTAACACTCGAGGCGGGCACCATACCTGGAGACCACGCAGCCCCCTGATCTATGTTGTGTACTGTCCAAATGCTTGCTTGACCATACGGTGAGTTGTATTTGCATGTGTGACTTCCGGCCAAAATGGCCGATGTTTGTTTGTTTGTTTTAGTATCCAGAAGCCATGAGTTGTTAACCCTTAGGCTCGGTATTATGGATATCGCAACCTTTCGGCCTTGATTCCATTGTAAATACCGTAAATCTGGGAGAAATGTGGCTTTCCTGCCTACCCCCGGGATTGAACTCGGACCACAAGGAGTTCGTCACCCGGTCTCCGGCGCAATCCGGTTTAGTCAACTACGCTAGAGAGCCGGGTGCCAAAATGGCCGATACCCTGCTTACCTCTGGGGCTCTGAAAATTTTATTATTTCCGGCCAGGTTTTTCAGATTCAAATTCCATATTTCTGGACTGGGAGTCCAAAGGTTCTATTTTCCAGCTACTGAACTAAGTCTTGGTGCGACACCTTGAGCTGTGGATTTAATGTAGATTTTTTTTTGTGCCACAGCGTATTAGCGACTTTATGAAAATAGGGACGGCAGATTCCGAATGAAATGTACTTTTGCTGGTGCAATGCCAGCTTTCATGATTGGCCAACAGTAAGCCTCAAGTCTAGCGTGGAACCGTTAGTGTTGGCACATCTGACAGCTGCCTTATGCATTTTTTACTTTGCGTAAGCAAGCTCCAAGATTTTATTGGGACTCTATTTTATTGTTTTCACATAGGACAGTGAGGGACATTTTGTTTGATTTCCACTGGCACAAAAATGGAGCAATTACGAGTGCGCAGTGATGTTGAAATCTCAACTGACGACTAACCAACGACTTGCTAGTTATCAATGTGTGTTTTAGTTGTCAGTAAAGCATATCATGAAATAAACAGACAAGTTAGTGGGCCCATATCTTTCACGGATTACCGGTCGATTGTTACAAAGTTGTTGTTTGTGTGTGTGTATAGTTGCAGCTGTGGAACACTCCAGTTTTTCTTGAGCCAATAGAAATGCTACTGATAAATGTCTCCCATTTTTTCCTTGGACAAACAGAAATGTCATTTGAGAAAATCCGATGTTCTAAACAGCGGGGAATGAAGAGTTAGAAGCAACAACGAAATTATTTTTTAAATCACCATTAATAACTGGCATCACGAGAGCTGATAGATTGAAATGGTTGGGGCATATTGAGAGAATGTCAAATTACAGAGAAAATAAAACTGTTTACACAAGGGAGATGAATGGTCGTAGACCACGAGGCAGACCAAGAAGACGATGGAGAGATAATGTCCAGACAGACCTGCAAACAGACCTGTGTCAGCAACTGGAAAGAGAAAGCCAACCAGAGAAATGAATGGAGGCGTTTGATATCTGCAGCAATGAACCAAGGGCTCGGAATGCTGAAGAAGGCCAACCAGATAGATGAATGGAGGCGGGTGATATCTGCAGCAATGAACCTCACAGGCTCGGAATGCTGAAGAAGAAGAAGATTTTCTTCTCCCTTCCTCCGCCCCCCTCCCTCCCCCACCCAACCCCTTTTCTCATACGTATAGGCATTCCTAGTGCAAAAATTCCTTGTTTTTTCATTTTTTTTAAAAGTAGACAGATTACTTTGGAATTTCAAGGTAGTTTTCTTGGATTGCATGATTTTAATCCGCTCGTCCAAATATATTTGGTTCGAAACCGCACCTAGCGGATACATAAAATCAACGTTGGCTCCCAGGTCGACTAAATTTTAAATTAGTATAAGAGAATTTCCAAGAAGCTAGAGACGCCAAATGTAAATCTCAGAACTTTCCTCATTCCCTATCGATTGCTGATCGATCTATCACAAAATGAATCTAGTGCACAGTGCACCAGTAGCGTGAAAGTGTCATATACTCTTCTTCTTGTTTCCTCCACCCCAGGAATGCCTAGCTGCGTCAGGGCAGGAAGAGGTCTCTGAAACGGGCCTTTCTGTTAGCTTCGTGTACACTGTTTTTCATTGTCTTTGATATTTTTGCGGTCTATTTTCTGCGTGGTCGACCTCTGACGCTCCTACAGTCATATACTGTTATATTTATCTTCTTCTTCTTCTTCGCGTTCACCAGCTGTAAACTCTGGCGGAAAGTTCTGGTTATTCGTCCACTTCTGGACTGCAGTCCTGTTTCAGAACATGAGTTGCGTGTGCATCCATTTGACAGATCTGACTCATTTGTGTGCAGACTGTTGGTTCCTTGCATCTCAGGGAGATGAAGTCTGACTTCGAAAGAAGCTCCCAATTAGACGACTCTTACGACATGTTTTTGTGTAGGCAGTGGGTCTATTCTTGTCTTCCCCACAATGGGGCCCCAGAACCCACACGGGGATGTTTTATTTATAATTTACATATTCTGAAGCATCCCCTGTTTTATAAGGTTTTTGTGATAGATGGTAAATGGCAGGTGTAAACGTTTAACAATGGTTTCTTTTTTTGAAATTGTGAAGGTCAGCAACATTGTAAGGGAGCTGACGGTGAACGCAGACAACACGTCTGCAAATTACCGGAAACTAAACAGCATAAATGACGAGAGACCAAGCGCTAAAAGTATTGGGGCCGCGGGAATAATCATTCTGGCTGCAGGTAAGTCATCACATCGTCGTTGTCGTCATCATAATCACCATCATCATCAAATAGCAGGCCTTTCGCAGAACGTCGCTCTCATCATAGCATACATAGAAGATAACCCGCTTCCTGTCTAGTTTTCCTGCCTTATGCAAATCACTGCCAAAAACAGTGGCGCCGGCACACAGAAAACATGGGAGAGAGGGAAGTTCTGAAGTCTGGTTTAAATGTGCACCAATAAAAAAATTTTTTAACAGTTACTGTAGCTAATATTATTAGGTATAAAACGACGCCTAAGCCTTTGAAAGTGTCTTCCGTCTCTAGAGAAAAAAAAAAGGGAGCTGAATTTTTTTGGTGCTTTTCCAATATCTCTTCCCCCCCCCTTTTTTTCCCCCTCCCAGGATGACGTCACAGGACAGTCCAATTTTTTTTCGAGGGAGGTGGGTGGAGGAGATGATGAGGAGATTCAAATTATATTATGTTTAACAAGCATCTTATAAAAAAAAAGACAAACAAGAGAGAAAAGAAATAATATCTGCATTAGGTAAAAAGTGTATGTGTGTGTATGTTCTCCTTAAACTCAGTATTGGGTGTAGGGGGGTGAGGGGTGGGGAAGGGAGACTCAGCAGCCTTTACAAAGATATTTTGGCGGCGGAAATGAGGGGGTGTTCAGCTGCTCAAGGTGCCTGGGCGTAGGAGCATCGCCATCAAGTAGGTAATATTTGGAAGTGGGTTATTATTATTAATATTATTATATGCTAATTGGCAAATCAATATTATAATATATTTGCAGTAATTAACAACTATATGAACAAATACTTGTAAAGAGAGCACCTACACATGGTTGTGGAAACCATAGCCACTTTGCAAATTGTCTTCGGGCGGGCAAGGAACAACTAAGTGCACACAAATAAGTCAGTCGAAAAAGAATTTGCGGATCAATTTCGCATGTGAGCTTAGGTTTCCCATATCCATATCCATATTATTTTATAATTTACAAATCTCACTGTCTTGCCACATAATGCCAAGTATTCTTGATAGAATTGGATTGTGAAAACTATTTAGCCATGTTTTTTTTAAAAAAATAAATTGTTGTGCAAGTAAGTTGTCCAAACTTTATTACCACACGGAAGAATACCGAGGTCACATATCTGATACATATTTTCGTTGCTACAGTGAGGTAATCGCCCGCAGTATAAGACTTGGACTTAGTTATTTTCAATGGTTGTGTTTAAATCTTGCAAGTTAAATGTCAATAGAGATACCAGTTGACACCATAATTAAGACATTCAAACATAAGTGTCAGCGCCAAGAAACAGTCTATAAATAGCGTGTTCATACCAATACAGTGTTACCAGTGCCAGGTTTGGACATTATCATAGGCTAAGCGACGTAAATTACCACATATGAAGTGTTATAAGTGTTATGAATTAACACATGCCTGAGAAAAGCTGCCAACATAACCATCTTAGAGAAAGTTGGAAATGATATTATTAACACACTTAGGTCAACACCACGCAGATAATTCATTGAGAAGCAGAAGATTAAACTATTAGTCATGCAGTAAGAATGAGCACGAACTACTACTAGCGCATACGCTACATATAAAAAGATTTGATACGAAAGCAAGAGGCCGCCCTAGGAAACCTTGGACTGATGATGTTAAAGAGCTTCTACATTGACAGTAGCCACTGTTGACCATCAATCAATAGATCGCTGACTGTTCCTCCCCACGGAGCTCAACGGCAGAAGTGGAAAATGAAGATAATTATGCGGCTTAACGCTGGTATTTTCAAGTGTGTTGATTTAACCGTGAGTTTATTGCCAACAATGTTAGAGTCAACTTGGATATTTTAAAGGGTTTTGTTTAAACCATGAGATAATTGCCAACAGTATGGGACATAAACACCCCCCCCCCTTTTTCTCCCCTTTTACTCCTTTTCCTCCCCCAAGGGGTTTGTTTTAAACGTGACCTAATCACAGCAGTGTAAGACCTTTTGATATTTTAAAGATTTTGCTTTAACCGCGATCCAGTCACTGACCATGTAAGACTTGAAATTTTTTTACTTTCAATGGTTTTTGCTTTAACCGCCATTCAGTCACTGACAATGTGAGACTTTAAACTTGTTACTTTCAATGCTTTTTTTTTTGCTTTAACCGCGATTCAGTCACTGACAATGTGAGACTTTAAATTTGTTACTTTCAATAGTTTTTTGCTTTAACCGCGATCCAGTCACCGACAACGTAAGACATGAAGTCAGTTATTTTCAAGGGTTTTGTTTTCACATTGACAACAGTGTTAGACTCACTGTGTGTGTTTTTTTTTTAAAGGATTTTGCTTTAACCATGAGCTAATCGCCAACAGTGTAAGACTAACAGCTTGATTATTTCTTTGGTACAGTGTTCGGAGGGCTTGTCCTGCTTGATTTCGATGTACTAGTCACGCACGTCTGGCAGGCCTTCTGTCGCGGAGAAGGCGTTAAAAAAGACGATAACGGTAAGGCTAAAGTCTTCTAGTGTGTTCTATTACGACCAGCTACAGCTGACGGGTTGTGCTGCTTACGTCACCTGGTCAGGCTAACAATGCATTACCGCAGCGGTTCTCACACAAGAAATAAACTATTTTCGACAGTGGCCTAGGAAAGACAATTTATATTTTAACTTTTAAGTATCCGCATGCCTTCTTTAATAATTTCACAATTTGTAGCTGACTTTTCTTGATTATTGCCGCGACACCCCTCTCATAAGCTCACAGCACCCCAGGTTGCATCGGCACCCAGTTTAAGAACCGCTGCGTTAACGCATCGTTAACTTGACCCGGTGACGTCAACATTACGTCCCGTCAGCTGGAGCCAGTCGTGGTTTTATACAAACGTCTTTCAACACTGTTCTTATTTGCCACTTTTGCGGTGTTGAGCCTGGGACTATAAGATCGCATGGCTGATGCACTACTCGCTGACTGTGCAGGTGAGGATTTCAGTTTGACTTCCTAACAAGACAAAACCCATAACTTTACAACCTCTTTCTCTCATATGAGTTCCCAGCATTTTTAACTGTTCGGCCACCCGTTCCTCTTTGTTACACTGTCTTTCCCATTTTTCTGCTGATTATGCTGCAAAACGTCCTACAGAGGAGGAGTTCTAGTGCGTTTAGACATTTCGTGCAGATGGTTCGTAATATTATGTCTCAACTGTAGTGGAATATAAATGGATGAAATTATATATTAATATTTACTTCATTATCAACGCTATGTCAATTGTTTTGGACCCGCTAAACAAGTAATTAGTCTGCATGTTTACTTATTCGAGGCATTTAAAAATACGATGATCCTAGCTGGAGATTACCTTTTAGTATTTATACAGCACAAAACTCAATTATAACCAATAGATCCTTCACAAAACGCATGTTTCTTGTGTTTTACTTAAATTCTGAACAAGTCCACCAATTTTAAACTGAAAAGGTCGCATCACGCTGTAACATGATAATATTGGATTGTTTTCAGTACAACAACGCGGTTTAGAGCTCAAGACCGTCAGATATAAAGCTAGATTCATATTTTGTTTAGAACAGTCGATCTTGCATCAGTGTATCAAAAGATTATACGTATCAGGAAAAATTGTCCACTATACACTACACAGACGACAGCCTGCAGACACGACAACCAAAACTTACTACATGGTAATGAGAATGCTCGGTTTGCTTGGACATGTTTGCAGAGTAGTTGGAGACATTTTGGCATTTAAGTGGATGGTCGGTGAGAAAATGAGAAGTGGAAGACCTACAGGAAACCGAGAGAAGGGTAATAGAAAGGCAAAGAAAGCAGTATGCAGGGATATACGATACTATGGGTTGAAAAGCATACGGCGGACAGCAATAGAAATCAATTGTGAAGTTCTTATGTATCAAAACAACAAGAAGAGGATAAGACAGACAGAGAGACAGACAGACAGACGGACGGACAGACGGACTGACAGACGATCGGACGGATGAAAGGATGGACAGATAAACTGACGGACAGACAGACAGACAGACAGACAGACAGACAGACAGACAGACAGACAGACAGACAGACAGACAGACAGACAGACAGACAGACAGACAGACAGACAGACAGACAGACAGACAGACAGACAGACAGACAGACAGACAGACAGAACAGACAGACAGACAGACAGACAGACAGACAGACAGACAGACAGACAGACAGACAGACAGACAGACAGACAGACAGACAGACAGACAGACAGACAGACAGACGGACGGACGGACGGACGGACGGACGGACGGGCGGAAGGACAGAGGGACAGACAGACGGATAGAGGGGTGGATAGACAGACGGGCAGAAGGATGAAGAGAAGGACAGACAGACAGATGGATGGACGGACGGACAGACAGACAGAAAGACGGAAGGAGGAACGGACGAACAAACTTATAGACGGACAGACAGATACGAAGATAGTAATTGTATACGCTAAGGTATATAAAACATATCTAAAAAATAACATTCATATTCCTGTGTTAAATAATATTATCTTTGTCCACACGACATTTTAAAGCTCTATAAGTAACAGCCTTATGTATATTTACAAAAGATCTGTGTGTTAAATTAATATTTTTTTTAATATAATTTTTCTCATATTTACACAGGTGAAAATGTACTTACCAGTCCGTGAAAATACCACAAGATACCAGGGATATCAGCGTTCTGTTGTGTGAATGTCGGCCTGGGACGTTACACAGTGCTCGTCTAGTCAGCAAGATCAGTCACAGCATGGACTCTTTCTACATATCATTTTACACCCAGAGTTCATGGACTCTTTCAGCATATCATTTTTACCCAGAATTTACAGACTCTTTCTTTATATTATTTTGACCCAGAGTTCGTGGACTCTTTCCGCATATCATTTGAACACAGAGTTCACGGACTCTTTTTCATATTATATTGACCCAGAGTTCATTGATTCTTTCTGCTTATCATTTGAACCCAGAGTTCACAGACTCTTTCTGCATATTATTTTGACCCAGAGTTCATGGACTCTTGCTGCTTATCATTTGAACCCAGAGTTCAAGGTCTTTTTCTTCATATCATTTTGACCCAGAGTTCATGGACTCTTTCTGAATATCGTTTGAACCCAGAGTTTACGGACTCTTTCTTCATATTATTTTGACCCTTAGTTCGCGGACACTCTAAAAAAAAATGTTATTTTGACCTTGCAGAACTTAATTACTTATAAAGCAAATCCTCGTTAACACCAATTCCAAGAGACCAACACATAAAGAGTTCGTTTGAAATTTAAAACTACACAAACGTAACAACAAGGAGAGGAGAGTATGTGTATATACGTTACGTTTGTATATTTCACTTATGTTTGAAAACAGGCTGCCCGGCGGAAACGTTACGTTGTGTTGTTTTGTGCACGTTTTTCTGCTTTCCCGTTTTGTTGAGCTTTTTAGTCAAATTTCTCTGGAATTCCTTGTATTAGCTTGACTGCAGTCACCCCATATTTTCACTATTTGAGGACTCAGATTATACACACCTTCTTCTTCTTTCTTTTGTCGTCTCACTGATACCACGCTGTAGCCCAGTGTCGTGGTTTTGTCGTCACACTGATACTACGTTGTAGCCTAATGTCGTGGTTTTGTCGTCTCACTGATAACACGTTGTAGCCCAGTGTCGTGGTTTTGTCGTCACACTGATACCACGTTGTAGCCCAGTGTCGTGGTTTTGTCGTCTCACTGATACCACGTTGTAGCCCAGTGTCGTGGTTTTGTCGTCACACTGATACCACGTTGTAGCCCAGTGTCGTGGTTTTCTGTACATGTCTTGCGCTTCTCGGGTGGCTTGGGCGATGGATTTGTTAAAGTAGCTGGTCCAGTGTTCACAAGAGTCTGACCTGTATGTATTCAATATTTGTTGTGTAGTAGCAATCAATTACACCGTTGCCATGTTGCCATGCCCGTCGCGTTGCGGGGCAGGAACAAATCTGAAATCTGACCTGGTTTGTGCTTGCCTCCTTCCAGGCGAACCATTAGCCGTTAGCTTCAGTTTTCTCGCTTGCACCACGAGGCGGTGGGGTTGACCTGAGTGCTTTACGGGTCGTTGGTAGGCTACTTAAATTTCGCTTTTCAGAGAAGTTAGCTAAACTTAACACTGCTTGCTACTGGGCTACACGAAGACATTGAAGACCCTGAGAGCAGGCAAAGCCTAGCTGGTCATCATTGCCAACAACACCCCTCCTCTCAGGGAAACTGAGATTGAGTGCTATGCCATGTTGGCCAAGACTGGTGTCCATCACTACACTGGCAACAACATTGAGCTGGGAACTGCCTGCGGAAAGTACTTTCGATGCTGCCCCCTCTCAATCACAGACCCAAGTGATTCTGACATCATCCGCAGCATGCCCCAAAAGCAACAACCTGCAGCTTAATTGGCACTAATAACATTTTTGACCTTCAAAAACATCCTTACACAACTGCGAGGACTAAAAGTGCGTTCATGTTAAACAGAATGTTCTTCGAGTTTGTGTTAACGATGTTTTACTACATAAATAATTTATAATTTTTGTTTGTGCAATAAATTGTGTCTGTTTTTTTTTTTTGGGGGGGGGGGGGGGGGGGGGGGGGATACTTGGCATTATACTTGTTTTTCCTGTTTAGATATAATAAACGAAAAAGTGAAGGTCATCTTATGCCAGCTCTTACAATTGTGGGTATGAATTAAGAACTGACATGATAGCATCGGAACATTCACATAAGCGCTTCGTCCCCATCTTCAACAGCAATGGCAGAGTTCCGATTTTGATGGTACCAGTAATAGTTTGATCTTATGTCCGTCTTGCCTTTTACTTGAATTGTGAGCGTCGGTCGGGTCCACTGGTCACTCCTTTCTGAACCATTCTCTTCAGACCGTAATGATCTTTGTGTGCTCCCACACTGTTTACTTGCTCTCAAAGAGCCCTTACAACTAGGGTGACAAAAGGTCTCGTTTTCACCGGGATAGAAACGTTTTTTACGTGACAGTTTTCCCATTTTACCATCTAGGAATAAGCTCGATAACAGAACATGCACTTCTATAAATCTGTGGTCCTTTTTTTTTTTTTTTAAGATTTCATAGTTTTATATACATTCAATGCCTGAAATGTGTTGATAAGAATTTTCATTGTAGCATTACCCTCTCCCTCCCCAAGTGCAGTTAAAGAACATATTGTTTCGTTTATTTCTTGGCGGCAACACTTAAGGTTTTAATAGCACTGTGGGGCCAGTTACTAGCCCTTTCACCCTAGTGACCTATGAGATAAATGATGGTGGTAGTGGTGGTTGTAAGAATAGTGGTCCGGGAGGGGGGGGGGGGGGGGGGGTGAACTGACTTGCTTGGAATGTCCCGTTTTAAGCTAAAAGTATCGATGGCACTAAAAATGTTAGTGGAATGTCCCGTTTTCAGAGCAAGATAATGGTCACCCTACTTACAACACCTAGCATTTCTTCTTGCGATTACTTTCCTGATTTAATCTGGCAGACGATTCTGGACACCTAACAAGAAAACCCTGGTACTATCTGCCACAGCGAGCCACACTAAAACGTTCATCATCATCATCAGGTGCCTTGCCGACTGGCGTGGGTGATCATGCCTCTCCATAATCTTGATCTCCTGCAGCATGTATCAGTTCGTGTGCCGACACACCTCCATGCCATGCAACAAGACTGTCAAGCATCTTCTCTCGTTGTGTTAATCTATCTCTCCTTTCACATATCTTTCCAGTGGTCACAACATGTTCTATTTTCCCTCTTCTCATAACATGGCCGAAAAATGATGACTGTCTCCTTCTGATGTCTGTGATAAGTTGTCTTTGGGCTCCCGCTTCTTTCAAAACCTCTTGGTTGCTCTTTTTTGCTGTCCAAGGTTTTCTAAGCATTCTTCTGTAAAACCACATCTCTGAGGCCTCCAGAAATTGTTTGGCCTGCCTACGGATTGTCCAGGATTCACAGCCATATGTTAAAACTAGAAGTATGTAGCAATCAAGAATTCTTTTTCTAACTCTCAATGACAAGGATATAACGTTACAACAGGTATAAAGTGAGTGGAAGACCTCGGAAAATATGGAGTGATGGCATTAGGAACAGCCTTACGGAAATGAGCATCAGTCTTAATAGTGCTCTTGGCAGAGCTCATCAACGAATATTACATTCGCCCCTGACACTTCGACGAGGTACAAGGGGGAGGAGAAGAAGAAGAATAAAAGGAAAAAGACTAGTTCTGGTGATGCAACTGACCGTCTTTTAGAATTTATCTTCTGTTCAGCTTGAATATGGTGTTAGCTTACTGGTCCATTATAGCCTTATTAAAATTGGGTCGACCTGGGAACCCAGGTTATTTGTGAAAAAAAATCAGGCTCTGTTTGGATTAGAACCCACGACCGTCGGAACCGCAAGCAAGCCGTAAACCGCTACACTTCAACAGCTCCCATAAACTTCCATTGCCTAACCGATAATTTGAACCAAACTCTTTTGCATGCTAACCTACCGTTCCAGAAGTTTTAGCAAGATACCCTTTTAGGCTGAGTCGACTGGAAGCGAATGTGATTTTTCAGCAATCTGACTACGTGCGGATTCGATCGCCAGACATTCAGACCTTCGAGTGAGCGCAGAGCCACTGTGCTACCGTGGCTCTCAGTTACTGCAAATGGTTATAACTTCATGCTGGATGTTCAGTCAAGTACCGTCTCTACGATGGAAGGTAGCTGTAATGGATCTCGCTGTCTGTCTACAGGACATGGTTGTACACTTTTAGTTGCCTAATAATATTTGCCCAGACGTATCGCTGTCTATGACTTGCTTCTTTGCAATCACCTTTTCCATCCACCGTGGTCATTAACAAAGAATGTCAAATGTTACATAAACTAAACCGTATGTCACATACCGCGCGTGTCGCGTGCCTGTTTAGGGATTTCTCCTTAAGAACCAACAGCACTCTGAAATAGTATAATGTTGAGGTGTCGGCTCGTATTGGTCTAAAGGGTATCCCGCGGCCAATATACACCCAACCTATTTCAGGAGTAGGGCAACTCAAGCTATGGCACTACAGATTATATAATATTCCTAGGCGCAACTTGGCTGGACGTCCCCACTACTATAAGAAAATAGGCTCCAGCTTATGATAATGTACTGTCATAGCCATGTTAACACAGATTAAGATTACTGGTTATACATACATATGCTCTAGACAGTTTTGAACAGTGAATGATGGACACTCAAGTCAATAGTGAAAACTTCTAAAGATATGTAAATAAATGGCAATATATATATATATATATATATATATATATATATATATATATATATATATATATATATATATATATATATATATATATATATATATATATATATATATATATATATATATAATATAAGGCTCAAGCAAAGATATTCAAGAACAACTGGGAAAATGAGAGATCAAAACCAAAGCAACATTGACGGATCCTCGAAGAGACTTCTAGAGACAGTCTGAGTTCATCATGGTAACTCAGAGTGGACCTGTAAATATAGAACAAGGTATCAAACCACAGAGTTTCTCTACTTATCTAGTCTCGGTTGGCGCCATTACACTCGTCGGTTCATAATTACTTGAACAGGCTGACACTTTGGGATTGTTCACTTCGATGGTTGATCTTGT